TAATGATGCTGAAAGTCTCAGAGGGAAAAATTTAATGTCCACCTCATAATATTATGCCAGAATTACATGCACAGAAGACTTTTTAATAATCTTTGTTTCTTAATTTAGTTTTGATTGGCTATGAAATACAGAGCAGCACTCAAGGGCTCAAATTTCTACTGTCATCAGCATTTCTGCTCTATAAGTTGTACAAACGCGCAGGGCTCCTGTCTGTAGGCTTCCTTTCAAGCTTCTGTTTAACCGATGAAGAAAATTAGCTGCAGGCAATGATAATTGCTGATAATTTCATCATTTTTTAGCCACTGGGATGTGGGATGGCGTTATGATAGCTAGGTCTAAACATAAGCAGATTTTCACGTTGGCATTTCAGCTGCAAACGCAGGTTGGTAACGTAAATTCGTCTCCAGTTTGCGAATTACGGCAATAGCCACTAGGAGTCTCCTGATTAAGTTCGTGATGAATTTACACACTAATCCTGGCTAAGGTTTGAATGCAAACCCCATGCTCAAGGGCTGCATTTCAGCACAGGGGCCAGCCCACGCGAGGGGTGCGACTCCGGGGTGAAGGGACCCCCACCGCGGGGGCTGCCGACGCTCGTACCGGGAGCACAGCCGGCAAACGTTTTAGGAATAAAGCAGCCACCTATGCACTGTTCTTGTAGGGCAGAAGATGGTGATGGTCATGGAAAGTCAGATTTGTTTCTTTTTATAACTGGACAGAGTTTTGTGAAATGGTAACAAGCGCTTATGAAGAGGGAAGAATAAAATTTCACCAACTGGTAGTTACTCCCAGGGATTTAAAGCAGATCTGTAAACTGAAATGCTGCAGGCCACAAGAACTAGCACCTCCAGGTACTTAAAAATTTGCTTACAGTATCTCTGCGAAGTGAATCCTGCAGTTCTGAGAACATGAAGTAGCTTCTTTCTCTTGTCTCTTCTCCTTCCCTCTCCCCCCAGGCCAACTAAGCATAAGCGTATGGTGCCAGACACACTCTTAGCAATGCCAAATGCTCGAAGTTTATGAATTACAGACCCACAGGAATGGTCATGCTGGCTCAAATGCTGTGACCGTCCAGTCCAACTCTGTGACTGACAAAGGACGGCCAGATTTCCTCGAAGGAATGCCACAGAAAGCAGACGTGCACTGCCTGCCAGCACGCGTGCCTCACTCTAAAGCAATCCCTAGCCGCTTAAAACGTACAGGGAAGCCAGAGGTGACCAGTCAACCCCCTCCGCAGGGGACTGGTTATCCCGCAGGCGGGAGGAGTACTACCTGTTGGGGAAGGATGTGGTCACACCCTCCTTGCAGACACAAGCAACTCCACGGCCAGAAACCGCGAGCATTCGCTGCTCTAAGCCATTCGTTTGTTTGTATTTCTTTCATGCATCTCTCCTCTCGAGCAAAATCCTTTCCCAAGCCCTAAAAATCCGGAGCGACTTTAAAAATGATGAGATTTTAAACAAATAATAATTTGGAGGGCTATTTATTTGGCTTCTGCTTTTTGAGCTTTCAGTTTTAATTTTCAAACTTTTCTCTACAACCAGGACTAAGAAAATAAAGATGTTTTAAATGAAACCTGAGAATCTCACATAATCATAGGACTCCAGGGGTTTGAGGTTTCAGAATAATCTCATGAGTTGTCAATAGCGAATGTCGCCAGAAACGATAATGTTATTCTCAGACTAGATTGCATAAAAGCAATTGTGGGATAGTTTTCCCGCTGCATGTTCCCTGTAATACCGACGGACGCTGTCCTGGAGGGACGACCCAAAGGTACTTCCAAGCGGTGAGCTGCCACGTGCTGGGTTTAGCTACCAACTACAGGAGCGTTGCATTTTGCAAGAAATCTGCATGTGCAAAACCTCGTTTTTCGGTCTGTCAACTAAACAAGCTCACCGAGTAAAAACTCATAATGGACTCGTAAGAACACTTAATTCCATGGGGAATACGCAGAAATAAGTAGGAGGCGAATTTTACCATTAACTGCCCGTCTCCTCCGTGTTGTCTGCTTGCGTGCATTGCAATGCACGACTGCATTGTGCGTTATTGCAGACTATTATCAGCTCCCTCTCACAGACTGCCTAAGATTTTACGGTTATCTCCCAGCAGGACTTGGGTGAACCTCTCCGTACGGCTGTGTTTCAGGGATATAATCTGTACTACGCTGATAGCTGACACAGACTCAACAGCTAGTGCCTTAGTCCGTACAGTCTGTGGTGAACAGAAAATTACTGAGCCTGGTGGGAGAACCGATACGGAAACAAAACAGGAGGCTGCTTCAGCCTCCTCCTCTCCTTGCAGAAGCAGGCTCAGCTCTTTGCTACCCTTGCTTATTGTTAGGATACCTGAAAGGACCCTGAACTCCTCCAAGGAACTACCAGAAGGCAGCTGAGGGTTAACCTGATTTCAGAAACGAAACACTGGTACACAGGTTTAGCACGCAAATATCCAGTACCCGCAACAATAAAACCAAGCATTTGTATAAGTCAATTCGGCACTTCACCGTGCTGAAAAGAATCTCTGTCATTTCAAATTTGGGACTTTTTAGTGCAAGACCATGCCTAACAGGAATGCACTCTTTTCTGCTGCCCACTTTCTCCAAGTATGACAGTGCTATCTTCTTAACTCGTTTTCTAAAACTGAAAATGAACACAAAAATAAAACATCTCCTAGTTTGGCAATGCCAAAGGCTCAGGCCTACAAACATCTAAAACCTCGTTTTGAAGGAAATGTGTAATTTTTACATGTAGCTATAGTACAGCTAGACATGAAGCATTTTTAGGGATGAGAGTGTTCTGCTGCTGTGCAGTTATCTCAGGAACGGCAGCTATTTCTGTCATTTTCCTAATGTTTCAAGTAAGTCAAGCAATTACCAATGCGGATGTGAATACAGCGTATATGTACAATTTACATCCATACTGAAAGCAAATACAACAGTTTATCATGTGGGAGTCAGTCACCCTACACGCACACCACTAAATACACTCCCTCGTTGTGCGTGCTCTCTCTCCCTCTCCCCAGTTCTTCCTCCTTCTCTACTCCTCGTGTCAGGATTCTGGCGACCTTCTGCATCTCAAGGGCTTAAGCAGCGAGTGAGCTGCACCCGTCACCTCAGGTGACTCCTGAGCAAACCTTCATCCCCCATCACAGCACCAAGGACATTGCTAGGTCGAACATTTTCAGGAGTTCTGGCACCATTTTTAATACTCAGATTTAATCAAAATGTCTTTTTTTTTTTTTTTAAATTAAAATCCCTGTTCTAGCTAGAGAGTGGACTGATAACCAAGGCATTCAGAAACTTAGAAAATTACTTAAGACGGGAACTGCTGCAATGTTTATCTGCACTAAAAGGAAGAAACAAGTTTTGCTGGGCGGTTTCTTTTGCATTAAAAGAACAACTTTTCTTATTCACTACACGATGAGTTACTAAATGTCACTGATTGAGGGCTAAATCACAGCTATTACTATTCTGAGATTTCTCTGAGGGAGAAAATACATTTTGAGATAAAGAAAAAAGAAAATGACCATATTACGCATGTTGCTTTTACTTGTTTTTAAACAGTGGCTGCTCGAAGCTGCTCGGAGGTTTAGAGTGTCAAAGCCATGTCAGTAGAGATGGATTAGTGGGCAGAGAGCAAGTGGTGCAGTCAACGGTTCACAGTGAAAGTAATTTATTCACGTAGCTCCGCAATTTATCATGTGGCTATTACCATAATGTACGTGGGAAGCAGCTGCATGCGTGCACATAATGCCCTAAACGTGTGTGTGGTTGGACCTGAACTCCTTACAGAACAGTAGTGGTTGAAAATGATACTATAAGGCATTTAAAAGCAAATTTCCTTCCTGTGGGGATGCTGTCACACAGCAATGATGATTCGTACACAGGCAAACAAATATCTTGTAGACTTTTCTCTGTTATGATAACCTCACTTACCAGAACTCATTGGTTTTTCAAATCTAAATTACGTGGGTAATGTGATGTACGTTTCTAGTGCTTTATTAATAGATGTAAGTACATGCGTTTTGCATCTCAAACTCACATTTTCTAGTCAAGGAATATTGTATTTTCCACTCAATGTTTAACAGAAATATTCAGCGGCAAAGAAAATGAATTCTCCATGTTTGTGAGGAGAAGCAAGTCACCTACAAGTTGAAGATTTCTTTTAACTCAAGTGACCTCTTACAGCATGATCTATCAAACACTTAGGAGCAGCACAGCTGTAAAACGTTGAGATATATATAGTGTCTGCCTGGTTTCTCACACCTGTACAATTATTTACCAAGCCCAACATTTCCAAGACTAGTCCCTAATGTTAGGAGCATCTAAATGAAGGAGCTTGACTTCGGTCTCTTTTAGTCGGCTTGAATGCCTACAGCTTCAGTTAAAGGAGAAAGCTGTCGGTAGCTGGTAGAGCTGGCCCCCACCTGAGGGTGTTTCTTGCTGCACTGTCCACACGCGCAGGCGTGGACCTGCCGGCATGCCCCCGCTGCGTGCGGTAGCAAGGCTCCAGCAATGCTGCCCGCGGCTGCGTGGGCTTGCTGGAAAAACTCCACCAGCCCAGCTCCCACCACCACTTTTTAAGCTTCTGCAGTTTGAGCTTCTAACAATGGTCTCACGTTTGGAAATGACGCTGAATTATACCACGCTATGATGCTTTCAGGTGATCGTACTGGAACCAATTCACTCAAGTCTTTCATGATCCAGGTGAACGCATCCCAATTATGGCTTAGCGCACTAGGAGTTTTATGCTGCTTTCTTTTAGGTCATTAAAAGTTGACCTAGAGAGACACCGAATTCAGACAAAGTCAAGTTACGTCCCCGTAAGTAGAACATCTCATTGCCCAGCTTAATGTACCGCTCAGCATTGTGTTCAGCAGAACCTTTCACATTCTGAATATGATGCAGATTTTCTTGGATAATTTCAGGCGCGCTATAGGGCTTCCATTTTGAAGCCATCTATCACAAATATATATTATGCAAAATTAAAAGCTTGCCTTACCATTGCACAGAAAGTCTCGGGAGGATCTCCACACGTTATGTCTGGGGGATCCAGAGTCACTTTTACATATTTGATCATGTCTCTGGCTTCTGGCTGGCAGGCCATGTAATCCCATACTTTTCCTTCTTCTGTGTAAATCTGAGTCTTACACACGTCATAGTGTCCCCACACAGAAGGGTAGTGCTGCATCACGGAGGATACGGTAACCCAGAGGGCGTGAAGTGACAGGAATCTTGACAAATACATTTCTAAATCCTTTTATGTCACCTTCGTAAGGATGCTCAGTACTGGTGCACGTGCAGTCTACAGATTATACATATATGTACATATACATGTATATATTTTATAAAATAGGTTCCAACTCAAACGTGAAGCATTAGGATAGGGTGTTTGTTTCACTAAGTTGAAGACTTTGGTAGAAGCCACCCAGACCCCGATGACAGCCTTTCACAGCAACGCAGCGCTTGTCCTTTGTCTTATAACTTGTCTGTCAGGGCTTCTTGTAAAAGATGTCCAATAGCAGATAATAATTTGTGAAGTTGCAGGTCTTCAGCTACGCTGTCGATAACCCTGAGTGATCCTCCTTGTTCAGGGCTCGCAGGGGATGCCCAGATGCACTGATAAATCAGTATCCGAAGCGAAAGGATGAGTGTCTACAGGCTGGTGTCTGTTTCCCATCAATCATTCTTTTCTTCTGGCACCAGCACCCTTTTAGAAACAATGAGAGTTAGAGTTATTGTCCAAGAATCAATGCATTACAAAATATATGATATGTTGACATTTTGGAGGTTTGATGCAATATAAAGCAAATTGGTATAATATGGATAACCTTTACCGTGGTGCTGTGCTAGAATGAACAAACTACCAAAATCATTCACAGGGAAAAGTGTTTTGACACGAAGGATTTAACTCTTCTCTAACAAAGACAGATTTATAAAGTTCCAGGTGAGTTACAGGTTTTTGCTTCCAAAACGGTATTTTCACCCTAGCAAAACCGGAGGGGAAACTACCGAACTCAACCATTGCCCAGATCGTGCAGGCAGGGGAGCGGGCAGCAGCAGGAAGGCTCTTTCATTAAAGTGACACAGAGATGGGTATCAGGGCTACCAGCTGCTGATAGTCTCTTGGCAAGAGGAACCTCAGCGAGCTCCAAAAGCCTTATATGCATTTCTTAGATTTTTTTTTTTTTTTTTGGAAGAGTAACAAAGATATTGCAAGCACACTTCTGTTTCCTTGAAATTTATCATTAGCATTGGAAGAGCTTTGCTCCTTTTTTTTTTTTTTTCCCTTTGAACTGGGATTTACCGATCACACTGGTGATAAACTACCGATAAAGATAATGGTTCATTTATAGCTTACTACAAGGATGCTTTCCCCCTCCGTTATGGCAGTCTTTCCTAGGTTTGGGGGTGGGGGTACCTGGGTACTCAGCGTTTATTCCATAGCAGATATATCCCCTTGCCTCTCTTCAGAAAGCAACTAGAAATTCCCTCGGTTTGTATCACCTCAATCGTATTATTACAGGCATAAAATCCTAGGATGTTATTACGACGACTTAAAACATACATTTGCTAAAAAACACAGGTAAAAATATAAATTAGGTGTGAGGGAAACTGCAAAGATGGGGTAAGTTCCCTGAACACGGACAAGGAAAACCAGGGTTAGGAACCCCAACTTATTTCTCTCAGCCTGTGCCTGGTGTCAGCCCGTGCCAGCCGAGGACGGGGAGCCTGGGTGCTGGGCTCTCTGCAGGAGGGGAGATTTCAGCCAGCCGCCGCAGCACCTCTGCGCTCTTTCTGTCTGGATGTTAACGTCTAAGCAGACCCGTCAGACAGATGTTAAGTCACCACTTTCTGCAGCCCGCTTTGCTTGTTCCCAGCTTTAAATTATGCCCAGTGTCACGAACCCTCCTATACCCCAAAGCCACGGGGAGCGGTACGTGAGCTGGTGAGCGCCTTAGCGTGCCACTTTGGTAATACGCGTTTTCAAAACTTATCTTCAAAGCTATTCGCAAACGGCCTCCCTATATTTAAATAATGCTTCATCTTAAACTGAGCTAAACTACAGACACTATGAAATGCCAACAGATGGTTGAATTGTGTTTCCATAGCAAAGTAATTTACAATAATTGCCGTATGGACGTAAATGCAATTTTCCATTATATTCATTTTATCAAGTGTTACCATACAACTCTCATATATTTTATCAGAATACGCAGAGAATACCTGAATTTTCGTGCAATAACAATTCTCAATTAGTTAAAATATCTTTAAGCTTCAAATCTGAATTTGACACAAAAGCGGAAATATCTAAGACCAAATTAAAATTAAATCTTTTTAAGCAGCAGACTGTGTAGTACCACTGCTTTTTTAGCGACCTAACATTCTTTTTTGTTTTCAGTGGGAATGTTTACTTATTCTTGTGGAATTCAGTCATTCAGAGAACACTTTCCATGTCATTCTAATGGGCACCTC